CTCACTGACCACCTCTCCTCCCTCCCACCACCACAAAAGTTCTTGTACAATTTGCTCTGACATGGCTCCTCTTCTGGTGAACTCTTCAGCCCAATAGAATTATCAGATTTAGAGAAGTCATAAAAAGTTTTCTGATTGAACCCAATTATTTGGGGCTGGAAACAAAAATAAAACACATGTCTTATTGTATAAAACAGCAAATGGATAGGAAATCTGGACTGCTTATCTGTTCCGAAAGCCAAGAGCACATGTTATATGTGTTAGTAACCGTTCTCAGCCCTGGATCTGCCTGATCAAGCTCTCATGGACAGCTTCCCCCCCATTCCCCACACACAACTGTCTGCTTTCTCTGTCCGTAGATGCTGGAGCCCAGTACTGGGCTAGGGAGGAAAGAAGGCTCCTTGCATGTGGACCAGCTGTCAAGATAGAGCATCTCCAGAAATGCCCTGTGGGCTTCCTGTCTCACCCCTGCCTTGGACTGCATGTGAGGCATAGTGATCAGTTTTCACAATCCTTCTAATCATAGGGATGTCCTGTCAGGGTAGAAAACTATCGCTATCTTCACAGGGGTATTTAAAACCCGCTGACATTCTGGTAGCCCCGTAAGTGTGGGCGCAAGCATGTTCCCCGAGGGCTCATCACTTTCCATGCGCTCTCCTGTTCTGACTATTCCTTCTCTATGCCAATAACTAGGATATATATACCTGGATGATAGGATGGTCATCCAGACTCAGACTGGGTTCCACGTCCCAGCACTGAGTGCCCCACAAGACCCCTAAGTTAAATATTTACCCAAAATGCATATGAATCTATGTATACGTCGCCTACTCTTGCAGTAAGGGTCTAAGAAATAAGCCAGATATGGATCCCTCGCATTTACTCCTGAAATGGCTAGAATCCTAGAAGGATATGTATGCATGCATATACACATGTGTGTATGTATACATATGTGTGCATATATTTATATATACATATATGCACATGTATTTTTTACTTGCTTTAGATGGTCTTGAGTGTTCTTTAATCCATGAGACAGTGACAGGAAGGGCTGATTTAGATAGCATGGCAATAGGAGATGAGTACTGCTTTATAATCTCTGATAATTTAAAGTCCCTAACAGTTATACTGAGGACTATACTTTTCTATTCCTTGTAATTTCTCCTTTTGTTCTATTTCAAGATCATAGCCATATAAATTTTAAATCTTTGCATAGCCTGCTCTTATTGTACCAAAAAGCAAAGCAAATTTTTATCTTCCTGAGGAAGGAAGGAGAGATAAATCAGACCTCCCATTCTGGAGCATAAGGCTTTGCTGGTCTTGCAAAACATATAATTAGTATAACCCACAAACAAAACAAGGGAAGTCTGATTAGGTGAAAATACGGGACAAAATGTGGGTTTACTGGTTTAGCTCTAGCAGCCTATATTTCACACTGACAGACTAAAATCTTGTCCCTTTTCTAGGGTCTGAGCTTCAAGAGCTGCAGAACATGATTGACAGCCTCCAGAAACCCCAAGACCCCACCCGGGTGGCCCAGGCACTCCTTCTCCGCACAGAGGTTATGTTTTTGCAGTTTGATGCTGCAGTGAGGCATCGCATCCGGTAAGGGCTGGGGCACTAATCCTGTCTAGTAAGTTCTGCTGCGCAGGTGTTTGCTGAGTGACCGTCTAGGGAGGCCATTCTTGGCAAGGTTAGATAATGAACTTAAAATAGTCACGGGCACAGCCCGATCCAGAACACCATGGCTACCAAACATGACCTGCCACAAAGGCTGGCTGTGAGAATATGTTCTTGTTGGCTAATAACAAACTGATTTTATCAAATGTAATTTCAGAACAGTTTGTATAATGATTGCTGCTTTCAGTGTACAGGGGGTTCTACTGGGGGTAACATTTTTATACTTCTAAAGATGATTATTTCTAGGGGTTTTATTTTTTCAACATTTGTTTACCTTTCAAAAAGACAGAATTTTTACTGTACTTCTCAAGCTAATGGAATTGGCTACCAGTGTTCAATTTATAAGTAAATCAGTCTACCTCTAGTCTTGTAGGTACCCTTGTATTAAGTACTCCACATACAAAAGGAATGTTTTATTTGGTTAATTAATCATGACACCGATGGAAAAATTAGCTTGGATTAAGATTCATAATGTTTCCAGTATAAATAAGTTTTATATGAGAAAGGAAAGGGATTAGCTCTCAGGGTCTCTGCTGATTTTTTAATTGTCAAAATTACCTTTTTTGGGCTAGTTCCCGGTGTGAGCATTTAGCCACTGAGAGGATCTCAGAGGGCTGTGCTGTTACCTCTGGGTTGCAGTTGCTTTTCTCTGCGCTTGTGGGCATCCACGCAGAATGAAAAGGTGGGGATTGCACTGAACTGTCTTGTTCTTTTTCTACTCTTTATTTTCTTTACTCTGGCATCAGAGGACTCTTGGATTTAGAATGTAAATTCAACAGGACAAAAACCAGGCTCATGTGTTTTCTTTATATTGACAAATAGCTTCCTGAGCTGTAGCTTAGTCAGGCAGGTGAGATGTGAAGGCTCAAACAGTTATCAGGAGGGCCAGTCATTAGCCCTCTGGGCTCTCAAAGTCCAAGGTAAGAATTTGCAAGGATTTTACATACTAGTGAAGAAACAGAACTATTCCCCAAAAGTCCTTTTTGGACTTCTCCTATGACGGGTTCTGTTTGGTACTATTCTCCCAGGGGAACCACTCTGCTTCCAAGAAACCCTCTGGAATTGCTTTGTCAGGGCTTGCTTTGTCCTCACACTCAGTCTGCAGAAATGGAGGGCATTATATCCTGTTTCTGGTTTCATATATTTTTGTGCAACCCTTTGGAGAGAATCACCCAGATGGTTCACCCCACTGTGTCCTCCACTGGTTACATTTCGCCAGCCTTTTTTCTTCGGAGCTGTTCAGGTTGTGTGTGTTGGGTATTTGCAGCTAGTAAGTGGCAGACCAGAATTAGAACCTAGGTGTGTTTGACCTCAAAACCCGAGAGCTATGATGGAGACCGGGCAGCAGCATGGACAGAGAAGAGGATGCTGAAGAGAAGGCAAGAGGCAGGAGGAAAAGAGAAGCTAAAAGATAAATGTCCTCCCTCTTGATTGTCTTACTTAGTACTCAGCCTGTAAACAAGGGAAAGTCCTTAGAGAATGGAAAGAGATAGGAAGCTTGTGACAGTTCCCTGGTCCTTCCTGGAGTTCACCCACACTGAGCAAATATGACCGTTTATGCAGGAACTTTCTGCCTACGTAAGCTGAAGGCTTCCCCAAAATGTGCAAAGGAAAAATGGAACTCTTACCTGGAATGAGGGCAGCATGCTTCACAGATGGGGGTGAGGTGTAGGAGGAGGAAGGAAGTGGCTCGGGGGTGACAGGACGGTAGCCCCATAAAGTCACCTAAAATTTGGCTCCTTCTTCTCCGTGGCATAGATCAGCTTGGGTTACTGGTTATGTGCATGCTTCTAGGCACAAAACATTTCACTCTGCCCCTCTCAAGCCCCCTCTACTAGCCAAAAGCCTGATGGAAATTGGTAGCTGTCCTCCGATGGGTTGGATCACACTGACTCACACACAATGACCAAGCATTCATCTCTGGGCATGTCCACCAACCTGCCGGAGTTATTGATTAGCCAATTCAAGAAATGCCCGAGGATCGAGCTTATCTTTAATGCCAGGTGAATTAATCATTTGCATTGAAGGAAATGCTTGGGTGACAAAGCGGTTCTATCCAATCTCATCTATTTAAGTCAGGAGTTGGCAAACTACTGCTGCCAATTTTTATGTGGCCTGTGGGCTAAGGATGGCCTTCCCATCTTTAAATGGTTGGAAAAAAAATGTATGAAAGAATAGTATTTTGTGACCCATGAAAATGATATGCAGTTCATATTTCGGTGTTCATAAATGAAACGTTGTTGGAACACAGTCATGCCCATTCATGTATGGATTGTCTCTGCTTTCACACTGCAACCACAGAGCTGAATGGTTGCCACAGAGTCCATAGGGTCTGCCAAGATGAAAATATTTATTGTCTGTTCCTTTAAGAAAAAGTTTTTCATTCCCTGATTTAAAGAATAGAATTCCTTTGCGCTTTAGAGGTAGAAGGAAGCAAAGAAGTCCCTCAAAGGTACTCTGTAGCGCAGCATAAAATATATGGCATGAAAATTGCCTCTAGTCTGAATGTATTGTTCATGTTCAGGGTGATTAGGGTGAAAAGGAAAAAGCTGAAGAAATATCCTGATGATACATTCTCTCCTGCAGCAAGCCTGCTTTAGGAGTACGCGAAGGAATTTCTAAAGAAAGCAACACCAGCCTCTCAGTCCTTGAATGTCTGTTGGTTTTCTCTTCATTTTTGTTTTTGTTCTTGAGATGGTCTTACTCAGTCTCCCAGGCTGGAGTACAGTGGCCTGATCTCAGCTCAATGCAACCTCTGTCTCCCAGGCTCAAGCAATTCTCCTGCCTCAGCCTCCCGAGTTGCTGGGACTACAGGTGCCCGCCACCATCCCCAGCTAATTTTTGTATTTTTAGTAGAGATGAGATTTCACCATGTTGGCCAGGCTGGTCTCGAACTCCTGGATTCAAGTGATCCTAGTGCTGGGAGTACCAGCGTGAGCCACTGCGCCCAGCCTTCTCTTCGTTTTTGAATGTATTTTTATTTTCATGCTCACCTACTTAACTGTCTCTAAACATGCAGATATTCAAGTGTGTTCTGATGGCTGGGTGTGGTGGCTCACTCCTGTCATCCCAGCACTTTGGGAGGCCTAGGTAGGAGGATCCCTTGAGCCCAGGAGTTTGAGACTGTAGTGAGCCATGATTGCACCGCTGCACTGCAGCCTGGGCAACAGAGATCCTGTCTCTAAAAACAAAAAGAAATAAAAATTAAAAAATAAAGTGTGGTTTGGGTTGTCTGGGGATTCCTGGGAGACATACAGGAGCCCAGGCTCTCACATGAGCAGCGGTGAACTCGGGGCCACGGCCCTCGTTTTCGGTATCTTTTGCCTGGCCACTTCTGGGCCACTTTGCAGGTTTTATTATATTCTTACCTGCAGGAAAACTCTAGCATGTGCCCTGTGAGTTCCCTGCAGTTCAAAATAGCTTTTACTGATGGCAAGAAGATTAAAGTTTCCAATGCCACATCACTGAGTCACACTTGCAGTTTACGAGTGATCAGTTTGAGATTTAAAATCAGTTAATTCAAGGTTCTCTCTGTTCCCCTTTCTTTTAATCACCTCCTCTTCATTTGCTGGAGAGGGAAGGGTTCTGCCCTAAGGTTATGGGGTTGGCCGAACACACAATACCCGGCCCTAGAAAGATGGGGTGATGGTAATTTATTAGTCACAGACACAATCCAGAGGAAGAGGACACTGCCCACTACAGAGGGCCACTTGGGAACAGAGTGGGCAAGCAAGGGCTGTGAGAGGCAGGTTTTGTAATATCAGGAGAGTATGATGCTTCCTGCTTCACACAGGAAGCGGGGATTGGCTGATTTGAATAATGCTGTGGTCTGGCAGGGAACTGAAACTGCTACTCAGGAATAAGCAGGAATTGCACCCGGTTCCTTTGATAACAAGGGTCGTTAAACCTGGGGATCTTATCTGTGGGAGCTGAGTGGAGAGCCGGGACCTTGTGGCTAAGCTATTTGAGCCCTCCCGATTTTGCCAGAAGTCAAGGCAGCACAAAATTTGGACATTAAGTTTAGGCCTCACACGACACTCTTCATGTTCTTCCATCCTCTCAGAGGTGATTAAGTCTCTGGGGATGCTTTCAAATCTTCTGGCAGTTGGAAAGACACAGCCACTTCCCTTATCTCTGCTGTGGGTGAGCTGGCCCACCCGAGGCCTCTTCTGGTTAGCCTGATATTCAGCACCCCTCTGGACACCTATGTGTGGGGGTCTTTCTCCCCACTTTGAGGGTCTGCTAGTCTTCCTGGGAGGCCAGCTCACAGAGGATCCAGGCAAAAGGGGCCTTCTCGTCCAGCTTTTCCAGCATCTTTTCTGAGGCATCCACTAGAACTAAGCTCTAGAAATAGTCTTTCCTTGTTTTAACTCTTATTTCCTTTTAGGCAAGAAAAAATCATTCTAATTTATCATGCATACTTCCTTCTCTCTGACTTGTGGTATAAATTTCATGCTCCAGTCTTCAGGGTTTGTGGTTCTTGATATACAAAGCTGTTTTGTTTAAAACCAAACAAGAACTTTTCTCTCCCAAATCCCAAGGAGGCTTAAAATTTAAAATTTAGTTTTTATAAAGAACTGTTGTCTCAGTTATTGGTCTTAAAATAATTCATTCAATGAAGAATTGCTAGCTTTTTTCTAGAGTTACAGCTGCACTATTTAGTTCAGTAGCCACATGTGGCTATTTACTTTGATTAAAATTAAGATTAATTTAAATGAAAGAAAATAAAAAATTCAGGCTGGTCTGAGTGCAGTGGTGTTTACAAGTAATTGATCACAGCCAGTTACAGATTTCTTTATTCTTTTTCCACTCACACTGCTTCACTTGGCTAGCCTTTAAAAAAAGAAAAAGGAAATTAACAATTCAATCCCTCAGTCACAGTAGTCACGTTTCAAGTGTACAACTGCCACATGTGGCCAGATGCTATTCTGTTGGGCAGTGCAAATATAGGACATTTTCACCATTGCAGACTGTTGTGTCAGACAATGCTAGTCGAGGGAGTATGCCAGCCCTCCCTGTGAGGGCTCTGAACTGTGAAAGCCGAGGAGGATGATGTGGCTGAAGAAGGAACTTATTAGTATCTCAAAATGTTTTCTTGCTTCAGTAACTTTGAGGAAAGTTCTGAACTTTAGAAGTATAAGTAACTGCTTTTATTGAAGTGTCCCCTCCATGTTTTGGTAGAGGAACATTTTTGGCAGCTGGAAACGTTCCTGCCTATCAGTCTGTCACAGACAACATGTACCATGGGCTACCAGCACTGAGCAACTCTCTCAGGAAGAGCATTTTTTGCCTCGCAGTTCCACCTACCCCAGCCACTGGATCCGTGGAGCCTCCAGGTGTGTTTCAGATGTATTTTTATACTGTAAATTGTATGCTGTGTGCAGGGGATTTAGTCAGTTTGTTTCCATTCAGTTTAGGTTCTGCAGGGGCTCTCAAGGCTTTAATGTCCTCTGTCTTCACTGGCTCTGCTTCACTCACACAGTGGAACAGTCTGGGCCCCAGGGCTGGCTGTGATTCCCAATCAGGGTCTTTGCCTCCAAACACTCAACAGGCTGCTTGGGGCAACAGCATGTCTGTTCACAGTTGATAGCAAAACAAACACTTAATCTTCTCCATGTAATAAATAATCATGATAGCAATTACAATACATAGATGACGTCAACAGCCCTGGTTATAGCACCTACTATTGAAGGTAATCCCAGCAACTATTGTTGCTCCTAGGCAGGAACAATATTACCCACCTTCTACAACCAAAGAATTCAATGTTCAGGAAGGCCAGAGATCAGACTATTCCAGAGTCATGGCAGGACCAGGTTGTAAGCTGTATTAGTTACTTATTGCTGCATAATGAATTACCCTAAAGTTTAGCAGATTCAAACAATAGACATTCATTATCTCACATAGTTTCTGAGGGTCAGGACTCTGGGAGCAGCTTAGGTGGGTAGTTCTGGCTCAGGGTCTCTCATGAGGCTGCAGTCAAGATGTTGGCCAAGGCTGTATTCATCTCAAGGCTTGACTGGGTGACAATCTGTGTCTAAGCTCACTCCTATGGCGGCTGGTGGGCACCAGAAAATCCACTTCCAGGCTTATTCACATGGGCTTCTCCACAGAGCTCCCTTGCAATACAGTAGACGGCTTCCTCCAGCACAAACAGTCCAAGAGAGAACCCAAGATAAAAGTCACAGTCTTTCTGTTACCAGATTTCAGAAGTGACTCCATCATTTCTGCCATGTTCTTTTCACCAGAAGTGAGTCATGTATTCAAGGGGACGGGAATTAAGCTCCGCCTCTTTATAGGAGGTGTAGCAGAGAACTTGCGGATGCCTCTTTCAAACTACCTCACAAGCCCTGGTCTTTTGACTCCAAAATTTCCAACTTAACATTCTGATCTTATAATGCTAAGCCAAGTGACACCAACGTCAACTTCAATTAAGTCCCACATTTCTACCTTCAGTGGCTGCAAGACAGTGACTTTTGGCCCCAGCCTTGGCCCTCGTTTAGACCCAGAAGACAGGGTTGGACCATGACCATTGGATCTGCTCTCCCTACCTTTGAATGTTGCCTGGGATTAGGTGGATGCAGGGGTCCCGGCTCCTTGCTATCAGAATCAATTCCAACTCCACAACTTGACTAAAACCAGAACCTGGTCTGAAAGTGTAGAATGGGGTCAGAAAGGCAGGCCCATCGGCTTCAGTGCTGCACATGGTACAACAAGGGACAGAGGATGCCTTAGCTGTTGGTTAGTGATATGGAGGAGACAGAAACCCTGTGGCGCTGGTCTTGAGTTGTTACCTAGAATTGGAGCACAATGGTGATGAAGGACAACTTTTTAATGTTCCTAATATTAAGAGCATTTGAGTAAGTTCATTTTTATTGATTTTAAATATGTCCCATTGGTGCTATACTGCTCTGGAACTTCTGAACACTGGTGCCGATTAGTTACACTGAAATACTCAGTACTCTTCTGTGTTTCACCATCTGCTGAGAAAACAATTTAAAAAATAAATTATTACTCTCTCCTCCATATCACTAGGAACTATCAAGAAATACTTGCACATAATAAATAAGTCATCCAAAAGTGTTTTGGGGTACAGACACAGATTTCCTATTCATATAAATATGTCTATTAATTTTGAACACAAAGTTATGTTTATTTTCATATTTATTATTTGATTCTCTTAGGCATTTGAGCTGGTCCCTTGGATAACATTTCTGGAAGATGGAGGACCATTCCCAGTTATGAGTAGCAGCCCAGATACCCTAGAATATAATATGCAGGTAGGATAGGTCTTCTCCATTGTCACAGAGGGAACTGAATGCAGACTGCAAAGATAGGTGCCATTGGGTCCACAGGTCAGATCCTCCTACTCTCACCCATGATGAATAATGTGTAAGATAAGCAGGGTGTTTGACTTTTGAAGCTATAAACCCTGGGCCACGAGGTGAGTCACATTTTCTTATGACACAAGGGAAGCTTGCTCTCAACTGGCATTGGCCTGGGTTGTAGACTCAGCTGCAGTTCTTGTGGCAGTCGTGTTCTGAGAGAATGGTCAGTCATCTCCAGTCATGGGCTGAGCGTCCTAGAGAAACTCCCAGGCTGGTGGCTTAGAGGTGTGTGACTCCTGACCTGTCCGTAAACAGTGGTGGGAAGGGAACTTTTCAAAACAGGACTCATAGGGAGAATTTCTTTTCATTGCTTTCTTTTTCACTGTTAACTTCTTTTAAATTGTTAGATTCTTTTCATTATTAAATGTTTTTCCCTTGATCATTTAGGTAAATATTGTTTTTATTTTAAAAATAGAAAGCATAGAAAAGTATTAAGAACAACATGAAAATCAACCATAAATACACTTCAAAACAATATGGAGGTAGGGAGTGAATGGGGTGGGGTGGAATGGCCACAGGTTGGTGCCTGCTGGGGCTGGGTGATGGGAACTTTTCTGTTTGCTTTTCTATATATTCAAAATTATCTATAAGTAAAATGGTTTTTTTGAGTAAAATAGTGAAAATGGTCTTAAAAAACTAACCGCGTGGCTGGGTGTGGTGTCTCATGCCTGTAATTCCAACACTTTGGGAGGCCAAGGTGGGCAGAGGAGTACAGGAGTTCAAGACCAGCCTGGGCAACAAGGTGAAAGCCTGTCTGTACTGAAAACACAAAAATTAGCCGGGCATGGTGGCACACGCCTGTAGTCCCAGCTACTCAGGAGGCTGACGCATGAGAATCACTTGAACCCAGGAGACAAGGGTTGCAGTGAGCTGAGATTGCACCACTGCACTCCAGCCTGGTGACAGTGTGGGACTCTGTCTTAAAAAATAAAATAAAATAAAATCAACCATAGTACCACAACTAACAGACAATTCCAGTTCACATTTTGTTTTTTTCCCTGGTGTTTTCCCTATGCATATGTGTGTTTATATCTGTACTTTTAAGGGGAAATTGATATCACACTATACATTCACCATGTACAGATCTGCTGTAAGGGCTGGAAACTTGGCATTTTCATACAGAACCAAAAGTCTGATGTGCTCAAAGAAAACTTTAACTTAGAAATGTTACTCTGGTTTTTATGGATTTTCTAACAGTTGAGAGAGTGGGTGCTTATAAATACAGTTACTCCTTGTTTTCTTCTTGAAAGCTGTATGTAAAGTGTATATGTGGTCTTCAAATGGAAGGTGTTTTGTTTTTTTAGCTGTGCCTCTGTGGGCTGAGTGACCGTGACTGCAAGGTGGCTCATGGAGAACTGGTGGGTGTGCAACTGCTACTGGAAGATGTTCTGGGTAGCTATCATATGACCATGGAGGGTCCCCCAAGACAGCAAGCCACACTGGGCAAAAATACACAGGTATCCTTGGGGAATCATTTCCATACTGACCAGTACTGTATTGGACTGAAGGACCTCTCTGTTGGGGAGATGGACCAGGGAGCCACATTTTCCCACAGCCTCTCTCAGTAGGTCCCAGGACTGTGCCAACACTACCTAGGAGCAACAGTGGAGCATGGGTAGCCACTGCAAGGCTTTTTCTAAGTTCCATGATCATGGTATGTCTATTTATTTTAATTTTAAAAATAGGACAGCCAGGTGCAGTGGCTTACTTTTGTAATCCCAGCACTTTGTGAGGCTGAGGCAGGCAGATTACGAGGTCAGGAGTTCGAGACCAGCCTGGCCAACATGGTAAAAATACATCTCTACTAAAAATACAAAAATTAGCTGGGTGTGGTGGTGGACGCCTATAATCCCAGCTACTTGGGAGGCTGCGGTAGGAGAATCACTTGAACCTGGGAGGCAGAGGTTGCAGTGAGCCTAGACTGTGCCATTGCACTGTAGCCTGGGTGACAGAGCAAGACCTCATCTCAAAAAACATTTTAAAAAGTAGGACAAAAGTTGTGGGAGGTCTACTGAAACCAAATGAAACAAAAACTCCAACAGGGCACTTTCTTTGTGAGTCATACATCTAGGACTGGAGTTGAAAGGGCCAGAGGGGTCTGATAGACACGCCAGGAGAGTATCTTAGGCCTGGGCTCTTGACCTCATCACTCAACTACTGGCCTATGGACTCGTGGGCAGGCATTGCCTCCTCCAAGTTTATCCCTCTGAAGCTCTAAGGTACAAGAGCCACTAGCCCCCTACTATCATGACTTTAAACAATTTTGCATGTATCTGGGAACTAGCCAGAGACACGTTTGGATGCCAAACAAACTAGCTGGTGCCCCCATTTGAAGAGCTTTTCTGTCCAAGCCAAACTTTCTGAGCAATGCCCTAAACCCGTCATCTCCATTTTCTTATTTTCCCGCCACTCCTCGAAGCATTGCAATCTGCCTTCCCCATCTTGCTGCAGAAACCTCTCTCATCAAGAGCTCCATGGTCCTTGTCACTAAATCCACTGGGTATCTACCTTTCTACCTAACCCCTTGGCAGCATTTGACATAGAGTCTTTCTCTCTCTCTCTCTCTTTTTTTTTTTTAGACAGAGTCTCACTCTGTTGCCCAGGATGGAGTGCAGTGCAGTGGTGCCATCTCAGCTCACTGCAACCTCTGCCTCCTAGATTCAAGCGATTCTCCTGCCTCAGCCTCCCAAGTACCTGGGGTTACAGGTGCCCACCACTACACCTAGTTAATTTTTTGTATTTTTAGTACAGATGGGGTTTCACCATGTTGGCCAGGCTGGTCTCAAACTCCTGACCTCATAATTTGCCCACCTCGGCCTCCCAAAATGCTGAAATTACAGTTGAAAGCCACTGTGCCCCCCCGGCCCCCGAGACACAGAGTCCTTCTCAATGCCACTCTGCCCTTGGCTTCCACAGTATGAGACTCTCCTAGCTTTCCTCCCATGCTTCTG